GATGAATCCTTGCAGTCACGAAAGCTTTAAATCGAAATATATTTTTTTGGTAAGAACGCGTAAATATGTGTCGTTAAACCCGCCACACTAGTGTGCTGTACTAGTAACGAATTGGCATGCTCTTTTTACGTGACAAACCTTACTAATTGGCTGTGTTTGGTGGTGGCGGGTTTAACGACGCATTTATATTTATGCGATCTAACCCAAATAAACTATATTATGAATGATATTGGTCGCGAAAGCATACGTGTTCAACTATGCATTTATTGTATAGAATATTGAGTGCATTATGGATATATTGTCTTCACTGTATGTAGTATGGAGCACTATTTATTTGTTAAAAGACTGTTGTGACGTTTTGTGTGACGTAGGATTAAATAGAGGAATTATTTTTTTGCTACATTAAAGTTATAATTGATCACGAATGTAATTCCGAAAATATTGGTGCTTTAAATAGACACATAGAGGCAGAAAGAGGAACACGTGGCGTAGAGAACATACTAGCAAGGAAGGACAGGGTGAGAAATTACGAAGTGAGAGAAAGGCTCAAGGTGGTAGAAATCACAGAGAAGATGCGAGAGAGAGAAAAGGCTGGTGTGGTTCTGTCACGTGGAGAGACAACAGGGACATTATGTGGGTCAGAAGGTGGCAAGTGATGCAAGTGGAAGGAAAGAGATTAAGAGGAAGGGCAGAAGAGGTGGGGGAGGCGGCGATGCGGTGCGATCGGACAATGGCGCAGGACAGGGCAGCGTGGAGAAGATTGGCAAGGACAGCGGACCCCCACATGAGTGGGAAAAAACGCGTGGAAGAAGAAGAAGACTAAAGGCATAATTTAAATTATCATGGGCTATATGGGGTGACGGTAGCCTTATGTCCCATAGGGGATAAAGAGGAGTAAATAAGATGGGATGACGATGACAATGGGCAGGAATAATAGTGATTCGACTGGCAGCCAAATAATGGAATGCGTCCTAGAGAGATTTTACGTTCACCGAGGAGATGGAACGATGAAATCAACTCATGTGCAGATGCTATTGGTGGCCTTCAACCAGCAGTGGATTGACCATGGCTGCTGCTGATGAATGCAATCTGGACAGAAATGGATTTTGCTGCACTATTCCTTGCGGGAATTGCTTGCCAAAACTGCACTGTAATTCGCATACCTTTTATATAAGTTGGCATGTGACCAAGTTATCCCGGATTCACCCCAGCTAAGCAGGATTTTAGCCTAGATAGTGGTGCTTGGAAGGCACACCACAAAGCACAATAGGTAGTCATACTCTTTGGTTCTTTCGGTAAAGTCACGTAGGTATAAAATAAAATAAAATCACGACGTTTCGGGCGCAACGCAAGCGTCCGTCATCAGGGCGCTTGTGTTGCGCCCGAAACGTCGTGATTTATTTTATACCTTCGTGACTTTACCGAAAGAACAAAAGAGTATGGGTTCCTGCAGTCACGAAAGCTTCAAATCAAAATAGGTAGTCAATAGTGCTACGTGCTATCTATCATTTGCCATAGCAGCAAAATAAATTCTCTACACCACTGCTCCCACTCCTTCACCAACCATTAACTGATCTTCGTGGTGAAGTATGGTCAAATAACCCCCATTTACTCGTACGTTGTGGTGGGTCGGTCGCTTATCGAGCAACGAATTGATAAAAGACAGGGAGTGTTTGTCTGCGTCTGGGCTATAGTTGTAGCGGTTAGCGCACTGCGCTACGAACCCGGTGACCTGAATTCGATTCCCGCTCACGGCGATGAAATTTGAACCGGTCATGGGCCTCCTCTAGGTCGGCTCGGTGTGTAAACATCACCAGTGGGGAGACAAAGGCGGCCGTGGGTGGTGCTGGCCACCCACCCCCTCGCGTGCCTTTTTGCCGGCCATCACAAGCCGACTAGACATCTGTGAAAAAGAGCTTTAGAGCTCATCGGATTCCTCCAGTATCAATCAATATTCCGATTCTGAGCCTGATGCTCTCTCGCAGCACTTGGCCCCCCACCCAAAAACAACAGCCTGTTCCAGGTCACAGGGGGGGACCTTTGTCTTTGTAACTTCCACGTCACACAAAAGCCCCCCGTGTTTAAATATAGCAAAGCTTCCTTCACGCAGACACACACACGAGCACACGCCTCGCTGGGGAATTTCCACTAGAAAATTAGAACAAGATTTGGGTGAAGAAACTACCTTTAACAGTGGCGTAATACTTTCCAGTTTCGTAATTCGTACCCTGTGCTATATTATTAGCACTGTGCACGTAGCGTTTTGCCATCGGCAAGTGTGCTTTCCCTCTTTGCATTTGGTAATTATTTTGAATGTTAACCTTTTTTTTCACAACAGAGCGCGCGTAGTAGTCTGAAACAGCTCCTTTGTGTCGCGTAAACGCTCTTAGACACAGCAATTAAATTAAAAAGGAATATTCTATACTCACGGTATACTGTAAAGTTGTTTTTACACTTTACCAAACATTTTTTTGGTCAGTGTTTATTATTATCATGCTTATCCGTGTCATAGCAGCTCATTCATATGCACCACTTACAATGCCATCGTCGTATCTTAAGGTCACATTCGTATTGTCGCTTTTTCATGGTCAAATTCAGTTTTCCAAAACGGAACTAACTCTATTACCACTTTATCATTTTCTTTAATCCGTCATTTTGAACCACATTCAATAGCTGCCCGAGGGCTTTTAGATACACTGTGGCTTTAAAATCAACAAATATATAATCAATGACGTTTCGGGCAATGACCCGGACTGAATAGCGTATGAAGGGCCATAGAACATGAAGGGCTATTGCCCGAAACGAGGACTATTATATATTTATGTCAGTTCTTATTTAAGAATAACTGAGTTGAGTTTGTTAGATATACGTATAATGTACAGCACAATGATGTGTTTTGCATTTGTGCCTCTCAAGGAGCCAACGAGTACGGGAATTCCACATTCCCATGAAGGGAACTCGTATCTCCATCCATCCGAACGAATACGCAAGAACTTGGGATGTATATTAATATACATGTATATTGTTAATATACACTGCTGGATAAAACGTAGGCCTTTTGGTGAGCTTAGCAATGGAGCGGGGAACGATTTGGTGGAATTTATCATTTGAGAGTTCTTGCAAATGGAGACGCGAGGTAAATTTAAGACACAAAAAGGTTTCGTTTACATTTTGTGGCGTAATGTGAACATATTACGTTGGGTTTTTTTTGTGTTCGTGTTGTCCCAGTTGAATGGGTTAGCACGGATTCATATCCTCAAAACATTCCACCCCCATAAACAAAAGCACCGCTCGTGAGACTATTTGGCTGCTATAAATTTACACGTAAGCCACTTCGTTGAGCTATCATTTGTGGCCAGGTCGCTACTGACAAATAAGTTAATAGCTTTGTGGGTCTTACCTGGTAAGATAAAAACAATAATTTAGTTTTATTTGGACCGTATGTATATATATTTTTTCAGCAATGTGTTTACCTTTCCCATATATTTTACACTCCTATGGTTTTTTTTTATATCGTTTGTTGTTGTAACGTTCTGGACATATGTGGAAAAAGAGCTTTATAGCTCATCGGAATCCTCCGGTACAAATATTTTGGTTCTGATGGGCATGGGGGCGGGGGGGGGGGGCGATCACAGCTACTCCGATTGGTGCAAACTGTGGGTGGGGGGGGACCTCTCCGTCAGGGGGCGGAGGCAATATTTGTCCTTGCAGCCAATCGGATGGCAGTTGACGCCCACCGCCGTTCGTAGGAGGCAGACTTCTTCGCCCGGGTAGCAACAGAGGCTCCCGCGCTGCCGATTGGCCGGTCGCACGCCGTCACGTGATGTTTACAACCCGCCGGAGGCTGTGCGCGCGTGACCTCGCCCCCCCCTCCCCGCAAGGTCTTTGGCAATTCAATACTTGAGCCTTTTAAACATCCTTTATGTTTCAAGACGGCAATAAATTACGTTGCATTGGCCTTTCTTGACTATTTGATGCATTTACAATGTAAAGATTTTTAAAAAAAGCATTGTTTTTAACTATGTGCAAGCAAAAAAAACAAAGATCCCTTCGAGACCATTTGCAACACTTAAAGACTACTGTGTGCCCATATTCGTACGGATTGACCAAACATTTTATTTTGTATTTCGCTAAATTAGAACTGTTGCAAAAATATAAAATGCCCTATAAAGAGGATAACTCTGCGTTTTACACGTCATTATGCAACGTAGTTCGTTGCCAGTCTGGGGGAAATATCCGTGGCATGTACACGAAGAATTACAATTTAAGAGTTAAAGCCGAACGTTCGACTTAACGCAATTGCAGCTTTGCACTGTTTTAAGTTTAAGCAGAGCGTATTAATGCAAATTGTACGCTCCGTTTCCCTGCAATAGCAGCTTCAAATCAAGTTTTATAGTAGAGTGTCAATGCATTATTTCATTAAAAATTACAACCTACCGCAACCCTAAATGTGCAAAGTCTCAAGCTCTCCTGCGTTACTTTAATTTAAAACAAACGTTTAAAAACATTTCCCATCGAGATGTGTTTAGTTTTGCTTTAAGGGAGCCTTCGCTGTGCCCGACGTCATAACATTATGCAGCTCGAGCTTCGTCGCGTGACCAGGGGATTAGCCAATCAGCACGCGCGACGCCAACCCCCTTCGCCTCCTTCGCCTGACGACAGGGCGGGGAAGCAGTCGTCTCCTGCTCTCCGATTGGTTATCTTCATTTTTTTTGTTGGCAACCACCAATCACGAGCGACATTTTGCATCTCAACCCGCGGTTCACACACACACACCGCCCCCCCCCCCACCAATCACAATCGCCCTGACGGAATTCGCGCTCGATTTATGCAAATGAGGCGTACGTGCGGGGGCGGGATTGACCTCTGGGGGGTGGGGGGAGCAAAAAACGGAAGCGGCGGCGGCGTCTTCTGGAAGAGGTAGAAGCCACGGCGCGCAATGGGGGGGAGGGGGGTGAGCTCCATTCACTTCAACGGGCATCGTCTGCCGGAAGACGCAGCTTTCAGAAAGAAAAAAAAACGCGGTGCATTACTATAAAAGGCGCCGTCAGCGCGCCGCTTCTGCGTAGTCGTAGTGAGGTGGCCGCGGAAGTCGATTCCGCGGTGGTCGCTTCAGCAAGTCGCGGCCGTGTGGACTCGTCAACGCAATCTTAAGTCGTCGTTGTCGTGTTTTAGTAGGCAGGCGTTTGTGTGTAAGCAGCGGAGTCCGTCGGTCGAGAGGAGGTGAGTTGTGAGAAGATGTTTTGATGTTATTATATAATTTTTCAACAGCCCCGTCGTGGTGAATTGGGTCGCCATTGTGTCTTTGTTTATCCTTTCTTTAGCGCTCCGCTTGTTCTCTTCGCACTTCCTTGCCCCGATGTCTACGATTGCGATTGCCTCGCAGTCCTTTTAAAATGTTTTAAGCCGTCGCTCTACTAAATCCGTAGGCGTGTGCGCGGTTGGAAATGTTTGTTTTAGTGAAGCGGGAGTGGGGGTTGTCTTTGTTACGAGAAACTGCCCCCTTTTGGCGCTCGTGTTGTGGAGTCGGGCGGATGTCGACGCTATACGGGAATTAACGCAACATTAAATACACCTTTGTAGATGCTACTTATTAGTTGGGAGAAAGGCGAGCGTTAGTTGGTATGTTTTTGGCTTTTTTTTAGAATTAAATTGACGGGTGTAAACAAAACGAACACCGCCATCGATGAGCATTGCTATTTTGATAATGGTTAATTGTTTACGTAATTAATGGAAGTGCAATAACTTGCATTTTAAAACCCCTATGTTTTTTAAAAAATATCTTAATTATTTTGACTACTTCCTGGGGGAATAACGTTTATCATCTACAAAGTCAATGTCAGCTCGGTTGGCCTACATATCCAGCAATAAGGAAGCACATCGTCTACCTAGAGTCCTAGATCAATGTGTCATTTTGGGAATGGTTATAACAAGCGACGTTTCGTTTACGTGCACGTTCAGTTTGTAGGGCCAGTCGCTTTTAAAGTACCGCGGCAAAAAAAACGATAACAAATATAATGCAAATAAAATGGTTTAATTATAGTGTGCAAATGCTGTAACCATAGACCCTAAACCTATTGACGACGGGGTTACTTGATTGATTACATTGTGTTACAGTTGGCGCCGAATAAACTGGTGGATTATTATATTATGTTTGTAGTATAAAAGTTTTTAGTGTTGTCCTTTTTGGTCAAACCAAGTCTCGGTGTGTGTGCGTGTGTGACTTTAATGTTTAACAGGTGGGGTAACGTATGACTTTGCACTGCCAGTGTGTAGTGTTAAACCCTTATTATTTAACTGGTTTGTCCCTTTTACAGCTGATGGACAACAACAACAAACACATTTGTACAAATCCTTTTGGTAACACCCCCTCCCCACCAACTTGATGATAGAATCCTCAACACGCTCGATGTTGATAGGGGTTGTTTTTTTTAACATACTTCACCATCCTGGTCCGGAACCGAATCTGTGAAAGAGATTCGATTTGTGTATAAAGTGTAATCTACTTTATGGATAAACATGTTAACCTTTTCCAGTGTAGGTGGTTTTAAAGTGTTTTTTTAAAAAGGTTTCCACGTTTTTAATCTAAAAATAATGTTCCGAGATTATTTTTTTCATTTACGTAGCTTGTATATCGATACACAAATGATATTTGCACTAACTAGCCCCATGACATAAACGGCATTGATAATGATTAATCGGTTAATGCTGGTGGTATCAACTAAATACTGATGGTATTGACCAGCCCAATGAAATGCGTTACCGCTATTAATAACTTGACCTGGCATCTCAACTCGCATAGTAATCAAGCGAGCCAAGTGTTGACTCGCCTTACTAACTAGTGGTACTTAATTTACCCCCGAAGAGATGATGGGCTGAGACCGACCACGCAATACTATTATGAGCGCTGTTGAATAGCTTATCGCGTTTCTATGGGTTGTTTGGGGGGAGTCGGAGGCCGCCAAACGCAACCATGTACGGCCTTCGGCCAGGAAAGTCGCACGGACAAAATTGCACACGGAGCGACACATTAACGCTCACAAGTTTCCAAATGAAACATCTTTGACGTCGTATTACGTTTCGAATTGAGACAATTTGATTTCTTCGTTAAAAGCTTGTATATCATTTTGACATCCGGAAGACTTGATTGAAAACGACATTTCGCGTGAACGTTTCGTCTCGTCGTTAAGTATAGATGGCCTTGCTGGGGGTGTTTCGATTCGATGCTTACTTTAACCCGTATGGGATTGCGGGGTTCGAGATGAGGCGACGGTAGAGCTGTTGGCCCGTGCGAGACGACCGCCGTCTGCAGATCGATTCCAACGTAGATCGAACGTCGTGTCCCTGCGCCTAACGTTGTTCATGCAGGGGAGGGGGCACGTGGGTTTACAGCGCCCCCTACATGACGGAAACGACATGGAAAGTGCAGCGTTCATCACAGTTGTGCGCTTATATAAGAGTATAGTATATATCATCATCATTAGACCGCCTTTGCCAGTACCAAAATGTAATAATAGGTTTCCCCTTTTTTCTGGCAACAAAACTTAAAACCTTTTTTTTTAACAAGGATTCATGTTACCGCATTAACCACAATACCTGCAGTCAAAATGCAAACAAAAAACATACTATGATAATCTATGCATTGTCCTTGAAACTGATTGGTCCACACCAAGGAACGGCTTTCTTTTGAGCCTCGACCCAATTGGTGCTCGACCAGTTGACGCCAAAAAGGCGTACAGCTCAAAGACAATGCACTATCAAAGTAATGAGGGTTTGGGGTGAGCATCTACATCATTAGACCACCTTTGCCAGTACCAAAATGTAATAATAGGTTTTTTCCCCTTTTTTCTGGCAACAAAACTTAAAACCTTTTTTTTACAAGGATTCATGTTACAGCATTAACCACAATACCTGCAGTCAAAATGCAAACAAAAAACATACTATGATAATCTATGCCTTGTCCTTGAAACTGATTGGTCCACACCAAGGGACGGCTTTCTTTTGAGCCTCGACCCAATTGGTGCTCGACCAGATGACGCCAAAAGGCGTACAGCTCAAAGACAACGCCACTATCAAAGTAATGAGGGCTCGGGGTGAGCATCTACATCATTAGACCTCCTTTGCCAGTACCAAAATTTAATAATAGGTTTTTTCCCCTTTTTTCTGGCAACAAAACTGAAACCTTTTTTTACAAGGATTCATGTCTGCATTAACCACAATACCTGCAGTCAAAATGCAAACACACCAAGGGACGGCTTTCTTTTGAGCCTCGACCCAATTGGTGCTCGACCACATGACGCCAAAAGGCGTACAGAGTATTAAAATGTAGCCGCTCACGCCGAGCTCTGATTGTCCCGGTAGTGGCATTGTCTTTGTGCTGTTCGCCTTTTGGCATCCTCTGGTCTAACATTGTTTTGAGACGAGACTCTAAAGGAAGCTGTCTCTGGTGTGGACCAATCCGTTTCAAAGACGATGCAACATGCTGTCGGAGCATGTGCTTTTTCGTTTGCATTTTCACCACAAGTATGTGGTTTAATGCAGACATGATTCCTTGTGAAAGGTTTCCCTTTGGTGTTGTAACATCTTGGCACGTGTTTTGTTTGCCAGACAAAAGTGGGAAAACCTATTTGTTAGTATTAACATGTGTTTTAAAGGTAATAAATCTAGTACATAAAGTACTCGCCCTAATACTGTTGAGCACTAACAAGTTATTGTGCAGATGCCAACTTGCCTCTACTTTAACCGACTTGGTGATATCAACTGTCCCACTAGCTTAATGGGTGCCAGCTATTGCAGTGCGTATGAAGTAGATTGACTAGTGACGAACTTGACGTTAATATTGACTAGTATGTATGCGGTATAACGACAAGCTAAGTCTACATGCGGCATTATCAGGACAGTGTCTGGGAATTCCCCACCATGCGAGAGGGGAGCTATGATCATGAGTCAGTGACCCAACGAAATCCTCAGACATTTGCGTTGTTGTTAAAAACACGGCAGTAAAAAAAACACCTTGTGTTGCAATGTTGACACGCAATGCGATATCGTGTAGACATTTGTGCTTGTATTATCATGGGTGTGCTGTGGGTCTCGGAAGTCGATTGTATTGTCGCCTGTGTAAGTATGGATCCTAAATGTAGACATATTGGTCATTGTATGTGGGTGTGTTTATTGTTCTCTCGAGTCATTGGGTTTCTGAGTCGTTGCGATAACAATGTGGAATTGTACGTCTCGACTGAAACCGCATTTCGCAACACTACAGAAACCACTATACTGGTGGTTATGACTATCGAGGCACGGAATGGCTGGTTGGGGGGAAGGCAGTTTCGACTTCAGTGTTTTTTGTAAAGATTGTCAGGATATGTGATGATGAAAATATAAAGGGAAAAAACAGGGCCTTAACGAACTCCAGCAATGACCAGAGTGGTGAAGTATGGTCAGGCAACCCCTCATTAGCAATGCATTTACAAATGGGGGTACATATATCAAGATTTACCATGGGTAATGTTATTGTATGCCATGAGTTTAGCTGCATTGTTTTGGCAGGCATGGATTTGCTTCATATCTTAAAAGTGATGGTCACTGGAGAATTTCTCAATCTGTTTTAAACTCTTTCAATAATGTTATCCCAAAATGAACGTTTGCCAATTTGAAATTCAGCCTTGTCTGACAAGTTGGACTTATTGGACGAAAGTGCTGTAGAAAATTGTTTTTTTTTATTACTCTTTGGTTCTATTGACTTTACCCAATAGAACCAAAGAGTATGGATCCTAGCAGTCACGAAAGCTTTAAATCTAGAATTGTTTTTTTAATTATATAGGCTTCCCACTGGTTAAATGTATTTGTATTGGTATCCATAATTAAACATAGTACGGGGATAGCATATTAAAAACAGGCGTCTAGATTATTTTGTTGCTATACATTTCCACGTAATAAGCCACTTCGTTGAGCTATCCTATGTGGCCAGGTCGCTTCTGAATAATTGGTCAATAGCTCAGTGGGCCTTACCTGGTTAGATAAAAAAATAAAATAGTTTTATTTGAATGTCTTTTTAACCGACTTGTTTACATTTATACTTTGCATTCCTATCGGGTTTTTGTATTGTATCGTTTCTGCCATGCCCTCTGACATCTGACCAAAGGAGCTTTATAGCTCATTGGGTTTGTATTCCTCTCAATTGTATATAAGCTCCCGATTGTGGCTTGCTGTGCGCATGCGCAGTGGGACGGGAGGGGGGGGGGTTGCTGCGTCCGCCATTTCATAGCCGCGCGCTGTCCCGGATGTGGCAACGTCTGCGCATGCGCCGCGAGGGCGTGGCGACATTTTGTCTACGGGGGCGGTTGGGGCCGTGCGTGGGGGGGGGGAGTCACGTGGGCAGATGAGGCCACGCTTTGTGACGTCACGGAATGTTGACATTGCCGATAAACTAAAAACACCCCCCCCCCCCAAGTATTTGACTAAAAAAAGTATATCTATAAATAAGCTTGTCAGTATCGTTCCCCGTGAGCTACTTGACCTTTACTTAACCGACTCGCATACATTTTTTTTATAAATAAACTTAACCTTTTAGTTGATGCATTGCTTTTCATACTCACTTTGCCACCGGACAGTGATCGATTGTAGATGGAATCGATGAAGTAAGAATACAAAAATTTGTAGGTTTAAGTTTTAGATTAAAGTTTGTTTTTAACTGAATAACTGCGGAGAAAACGGTGATTTACCCATGCGCATGACAAATTAAATAACATAAAACAAGCACATTGGATGACGCAAATGGATATCGGGGTGAAAAACAACCATATATATAATCGTACTCAATTTGTTAACACTGCCTGAGGAAACGAACAGGTGACTTTTTGGCAATGGTTCTTAATAGCACATTATAATATATATTTTTTACCAGATTAAGATGCCCTTGATTGTTCATCCTTCTCTTTGAGTTGGTTGAAGTTCGGAGGGGGGGGGCAGGTAGTAATTGGCCATACTTCACGCTGGTCCAAGTCGTTGAATGCAGAGCGCATTGGCGTGCGCACAATAAAACATGACTGAATTTGCTGAAGTGCCTCGTGCTGCCGATGGTGGAGCCCCGTAGCAGCCTACGACCTTTGCATATACTCGTCACCATTTCCAAACACTGTTCAACTGTTTAGCTCCTGAGATTTTGTGAGGGATCGGGTGCGAATGGGACGGGGGGAACCATCTGGCGATGTGAACTCCCTCGTCTTGTATGTTGTGGGTCGTGGGCTCGGTCCCGACCCCGACGCCTTTTATATTTAGGAGTTTTAATGGTCTCCCTTTTAATGGCTTGGATTTTTTTCTCTCTCCGGCTCCCGTTTTTCCCTCCACGTTTAGAAACGTGCGTTAAAGATTATTCGCCCGCTATACATTTCCACATGATAAGCCACTTTGTTGAGCTGTCATTTGTGGCCAGGGCGCTTGTGAAAAAGCGCTATGTAAACTCGGTGGGCCTAAACTGGCAAAATGAAAATTGTTACATCATGGGACCTCATTTGCCAGTAGCAAAATATGAGAAGGTTTTCCTATTCTCACTTTGTGCTGTGTACTCCTTTTGGCGTCCTCTGGCCTAACACCGTTTTGAGACTCTGCTCAAAAGAAAGCTGTCTCTGGTGTGGACCAAGCCGTTTCAAAGACAATGCATTTATTATCAGAGCGTTTTTTGTTGGCATTCTGACCACAAGTATTGTGTTTAATGCAGACATGATTCCTCGTAAAAAGGTTTCAGGTTTGGTGTTTTAACATCGGTTTGTTGCCAGAAAAAAAGGGGAAAAGATTCTTATACAAATTGTTGTTTTAGTTGGTCATAAGCACAGTTGTTACCACCATACCCTAACCATGTCCTCTCACCCCTCGCTTTTGTCACCCCCCCCCCCCCCCCCGTGTTAGGATGACACGGTTCGAGACTCCAGAGGTCGCCGCGGGGGCTGCACCCCCACGCCACGGACAGCCCCGCAGCCAGACACGTCGTGGTGGCCAACAGCAACATCCGCAGGGTGGGCGGGGCGACGGGCTACGGCGCCCGGGAAACGCCAAACATGGCACTGCTGCGCAGGTGATTAGGGAAATTTCGTGCTGCGGTGGGGCCCAGGATATGATGACGTTCATTTGCTGTGTTATCAGATTGTTCGGTAAACTGGAGATGTGTTTTATTTTTTTTGGATGTATTTTACTGTGCGCCGCTGTGATGTGAAGCCCTTTTTTTGGGGGGTGTGTGCTGCGCCTTAGGAAAATGTAAATGACTAAAATCTTCGGCACTGTCTTTAACATTTTGGTTGACTTTCTGAAAAATCCATAGTACCCGTTTTTTGGGTTAGAGTGCCTAAATATATAAACGTGTCGTTAAACCTGCCATCACCTGGTAGCAGGTTTGTCACGTAAACAGAACATGCCAATTCGTTACTCGTACCACACCAGTGTGTTGGAGAGAAAAGCTACAACATTTACAATCCGAGTGACGTTTCGCCAGTAATTGCAACTCGCTTCATCATATATGTGCTTAAGAATCTCCCAGCATATTGAGTGAAACATTGGACATCGTGCTTTCCAATACCCTGCAGCCACGATAACTTATGATAACTTATTCTTAGTTTTTTCGGTAAAGTCACGTTGGAGAGAAACAACAAAATAATAAAATATATAAAAAACAATACAAAATTATTGTTTTATATATATTTTATTATTTTGTTGTTTCTCTTCAACGTGACTTTACCGAAAAAAACTAAGAATATGAATTACTGCAGTCACGAAAGCTTTAAATCAAAATTTATGATAACTTATTCATTGTTGTGAATTTTCCAGCAATTGTTTGGACTAGGGTCGTGGTATTTTTGAGGGTGTACTTGTCTCCCTTTTAACATGGTGACAAGTGCAAAGTATGCTGTTGATAAGACGTTTAAACACAGATCATGCAAACACTTGGTGGAGTCTGCAAACAATGCAACCGCAAAAACTTGCGTAATAATAGAATATGGCCGTCTTAGATAGTAATCTGTAGAAATAACTATTGAATTGAAGGCTCCTGTAATTTTAAATTTACTCCCTTGGCAAACGGCAAAACAAGAGCCTGTTGAGAAAGGTCAAATAAATACATTCTACTGTACCAACAAAGGTTCTAGTAGTTTTGCTTGACATCAAACTTAGCCATCTGAAGCTCGTCATACTTTACTATTCAAAGTAAAAAGTTAGGCATGGGATCCGTTTGAGGATGTTGGTGCAATGCCATAGCAGCCGATTGAATCTAGTGTGTGTGTGTGTGTGCGCGCAGGCTATGGTGCAATTCTCCACCAGCACCTCCTCTCCCGTCTCCATTCCCTCGCGTCGCTCGCCCTACCTGAGCTCCACCCCGAGCCCTACCTCACAGTCCCCGCCCGCCCGCTCCCCACAAACCATCCGCTCCCCTCCCTCCCGCTCGCCCCAAACCGTCCACTCCCCTCCCTCCCGCTCGCCCCAAACCATGCACTCCCCTCGCTCCTTCGACCCCCGCCGCTCCCCTCCATCGACGACAAACGATTTCTGCTCAGCGTCGTCTCCCCGGCAGACCGGCTCTCCGCTCTCCCGCTCGCCCCGCGAAGGCGGCGATTGGCCTGCTTACGCCGGAGCCAAATTTAGCGAGCCACCGTCTCCGAGCGTGCTGCCACCGCCCCCCGTGCACTGGGTCTCCAGCACCGCTGGCGGCAGTCGCAAGGGGAGCGACGGCGCCGCCCGCGAAGGCGACGCTGCCGAGGAGCCGGCGCCAAAGATCTCTCCTGCGAAATTTTTCGAGGATGCTGGGGCCAAGTCTCAGAGCGCTGCTACGGCGGCAGCCACGGCGGTGATTGCTTGCGCGCTGGGCGCGCGTTTTCCGGCAAACGGTTTTGCCGCGTACTTGCCGCCGCCACACGCCGCCACGTACTACAGCGAGATGACGTCGCAGCTGAAGATGCTGCTCAAAGTGCAGGCGTAGGAAGGAGGAGACGTGAAGAGCAGAGACCGCGACCGACCAAATGGAACGAGACGTGTGCCGTTAACGGCCTATGCTCAATTTATTTTGGACTTGGACAGACGACAACATGTGTGTGTGCGCGTGCAAAAAGGGGTTTCAGGCAACTTGATCCTTCTGCCTTCTGAAGGAATGTGTGGGCATCCCGGCGTGGTGACTAGATTTTTAAATGGACTCTTAATCGTTCAGAAGATGTTTGATCACTGTAGACAGGCAGGAGGATGGCCTTTTTAAGGCACAGAGGGTTGTGCACAACACCTTGTGCTTGCTTCTGAAAAAGTTGGGGCCTTTTATATTATAAGGCAGGGTGTGGGGGGGGTGAAATGTAAAAAGAGTTGGAGATGTTTTGCGTTGGAATCTTGTTTTTATCCCTTACAAAATTAGAAGTTGTCACTAACCAAGGTTCACCAGTTGCCAATCACAATGTGATTCTGTCTGTGGCAATGTTTTAAGTTCTGATGAAATCGGCACTAGGAACATTTCTTAAATTATTTTTTAAAATCTGCAGTCGGGCAACTGGCCTTGGCCTGTACTGTGTGTACAGCTATGGCAAAGTGTACTTGGCACTGAAATGTTTACTGCCAGTGTTTTAATGACTTGCACGGGGGTGTAATGGGGAGTGGTGTTCTGGGCTTTGATGCACTGTAATGCCCAAAATGACCCAGATTCAGTTACTGGCCATGGTGATATCTGAATCTGGTTTTGGGGCCTCCCCTAGGTCAACTCGACCTAAATTAAGTACCTGGTGTGGTGTTGTATGCACATCAGCACCAGGAAGGCAAAAGGGCGTTGGTGGTGCTGGCCACACCACTCCCTTATGTGCCGTCCCCAGCCTTAGGTGCTCACTGTCTGCACTCGGGCTAAGTTGGGGGCATCTTTGTGTGCACGTTATTGGCTTTGCTTGGTGTGTATGGTAACTGCAAAGCACTGTTGTGCGCGCATGTGTTAGGAAGTGGTTGTGTGCCAAAGTGACTTCAGCGAATCTTAACGCTCTCCAATTGATGACAAGCACTTGTCCAAGCTGCCCTGTGCGGTAACAGCTTCAACATACCAAATCTGGTGGTCCGTTTTCATCCAAATTTATCTGTACATTTTTGGCTAAATTGCAAAACGGCAACTTTTGAAAGCTGAAAGGCAGCAACCAAGCGAACCAGTTTTTTTTGATCCCACGCAAAATATCCCGAAAACGTTATCTCTGTGCATAAACACGCCGTCCGTTTTACACGAGTAGTAACAACAGCATTCGACGCGGAAGACTTGTTTATTTCAATAGAAGACTGAAGATGAATTGGGGGGGGCTGGGGGGGGGAAATGGATCGGCTTGGATCACCAGTGGAACCTTTTTTTCCTGAAGAGTTGGCATCAAAATGAAATCTTCACGTGCTCAACTTTATCACAAATATACTGACTGAAACGTCTTTAAGAGCCCAGGTCAAGTGGGATGATGGATATGGTGCCACGCCAACTGGTGCCTCGAAACCTATTAACAAACCTGAAACATTGCTTGTCAGTGGTTGTACAAGCCACTATCCTTAAGTTGGCGTTTGCCAGGAATCGGTGTTGGCTTGTACTTGAAAATTCTGTCTGGCGGTGCGTTTCTTGTTTTGTTTATAGTTTACTTCTTACCTTGATTGTCGGAAGATCGTGTGGACGTGAATGCATTTAAAAATTTAGGGCCCTCTTGATTGCCTTGAGCTTTTGATATGACGATTGTTTTCCGAGATTACATTAGCTTGAGGCAAACAATGGTTTTAAAGTCTTAACGCATTTACAATAGAAACGGGATGTTCGCATGGGCTTTGTGGAAGGCTTTCATGCAGTTAGAATGGAACTCTAAAAGGCACGTATTTGACAATGACTTTGACTAGTGTTGATGACCGAGCCTTTATTGGACGACTTTTTTTTAGTGTACGGTATGACGTTTAGTTTAAAAGGGGTGTATGTAGTGTGCGCACATGTGTACAGACGGGAGCAGAGAAAAATATTGATATTGTATATTTTAATTTTGAAATCTATTTTTGTGGAAGATAAAAAGTTGGCAGGCTTTTTAAGTCAATGTGAAGCAGCCGTTTTAAATGGTCGTGGATGTGAGCGGCAAAATTGTTTTTAAGTGAAATGAAAATAAGATTGGAACATGACGGGGGGGGGGGGGGGAGAGAAATTGCCACTTCCATGACCAGAGTCTGCATTTGCAAATTGCCATTTAAATGCTTTGAAAAGCATTGGCAGCTTGCGTCCTGGTGACACCAAGTCGACCAGGTTACTGCCAGCCTTGCTCACACCTTGTGTAAATATGTTTTTATTTATTTTCTTCACATCTTGCCAATTGTAAAGTATTTCACATGTACATAAGATGCATATGAAGAAAATAACTGGGGTTTTTTTTTTTTACAAAAAAGGTGTGGAGCATTTCAAAAAAGCGGAAATGTTTTCCTGGATTTGTGATGGCCCTTTAACTGAAAAAAAATGTAAAGGTGCTTAAATCGATTTGTCTTAACCCCACGCAATTGGCCATATTTGACACTCAAAAAACTGAACAATGGAGATTTTAAGGAACGCTGGTTTGTCAACCAACCCATAAGCGCACTGCAGAGATGCCGTAACGTTTCATCTGCATACAATTACAACAGGACTTGACCAGACTTTGATTTTTTTTAAAAATCCCATTTTAGAAATGAATGCAATCATGAACTCGGCATTCTATCACTGTAAAGGTTACTATCGTGATTTAATTTGCACCTTGGTATCAAATTGGCTACAATTGTACATATGCCAACCCAAAAATATTTTCATCGATCACAAGGAGTGTGCAGTAAAAATTAAAATCTGAATTGGATTCTACTTTAAAATAGTAATCAAGTTCTAAGTTTTAAATCATGCACGCCCCATTTGCTTAATGGGAACATTTTCCCACAATTTGGCTTTGTGTACGGGGCATTGTACAATTTGCGATCTGCACAGACATGGTTAAATTGAACCTGGGTGCAATTTTCACACGAATGCGCACTTGAAAAAAAATGGAGCCCTGCAAAAAGGCAGTGAGCGTATTTTTCAAGCAAATTTCACCCTTAAACTGTGGAAGAAAAAAGAAAAACGAAAAAAAACAAAAAAAATACTTCTACCTAATTCCAAATTTATTTTTCTTCTCTGGCTTTACTTCTACTGTCTCTACAAAACATTCGCTCTCCACCAAATACATTTACAAACGCGAACTCGCCAACCATCCAATCTCATTACATTTGCAGCCCATGGTCATGTTAATAATGTCGCCCCAACTCTCGCCCCAATGCTTGCGCGCACCGCATCCGGGGTCTTTAAACGCCATCAGTCTGACCACTGTCCATCGCTTCATCCACTTTTTTTAAAAAAAAAATACCCGATACGTATATAGCTATGTGCACATTATTGGTCACCTAAAACATTAATATTCGACAACAGTTGACATGCCCAAACAATATCTGCAGCACCATATTACCGTAAGCATTGCACCACGCAACATTCCCGACATGTGTAACAGCAGTCGATGCACATCACTTGAGATGCGTCAACCACTACACATGATCACCTGTGGATAATACAATTTGCATTGCCATTAAATTGCACACGCTTTGGCATCAGCAACCACTGCAGCGTCATTGTAGATTATGTTCCCTCGATGCAAAACTCATCCATTGCTGTAAACACCACACTAACCCTACCAAAAAAACGAAATCAATGTATCGTCTTACAACGCCCACGACGCATCACCTTTCAACTTTACACCAACGTTCAACTCTGCAACCATCGTGCAAACATTGTTTACCCACTGCACATACAACTCCGCCATGCACTGCTCACCACAGCACTTGCGCGCCTTTCCAGCTATTACTCGGCAGTCATTCATCCTACCTCTGCTCTCCTGCTTACCTGTTTCACTCTGCTCTTTTTACCTCTGCTATCACTCTCATCTCGCAATCCGCCACCTCTTGCTATCCCCTCTTGCTATCTATACCCTCTCACTTCTACCCCTCTTTGTCCCCTCTTGCACCCTTCCCTCCCCCACCCCCAAATCCTCAAAAAAGCTATAACCAGTGAAGCCGGTACGGCTGCTGATAGCGCCTACCTGGTTTGTGTGCGTCCGTGTGTCCCGTGTCCATTTATTATCTGACCTGTGTGCACACCACCACCGCTCTCACGGAACACATTGGATTTTCCACGGTTGGGTAGACTGCCCACAACTCGCCTGACACTTCCCGCTAACGTTGGCCAGCATAAACTAATAGTGAAAGTTGAACTTGCAGCAAACGAGCAGACGTCTCCGTGTATACCCACGACCCTCTGGGATTGTATTTGGACAGTATTCTGTACAAGCAATATCCTGGTTTTGACCTGGTCAGTCGGGCCTTGAATCGATGCCTGGTGAAGTGCCAAATGTAAGTAAAGAGATGCCAAGGTTCACCAAGTAACATTAAACATTTGGCATGCCTGCGTGCTGTTGTGCTAAATGAGAGATTACTCAAATGACCCTGGTCAGGATTTTGACTAGATTTTTATCAAGATTTAATGCATCCTGAATATCCCAATTATGTATTTCCTTATTTGTCCGCAAACAAAAAATCACTTTCGAGATTAGAATCTTGATGGCAAAGAATTCCCCATTGCACGCTCTTGCGTTGATACGCCACCTGGCGGAATAAGCGCAGCATTGCACAACGGGCCCCTGCTGTGCAGGAAGCCTGTGACAATGAAAACCTTTTATATTGCTGCCTTAAGGACAAATATAGGGAACATTTCGGGCAATGACCCTAACGCGCACAGAGGCCTCAGTTTAGGGATGGGGACTGCAGTTAGACATACAATTGGTGTCGGTGAGATTGTATTTAAGACCGGGAGCAAGTGGAGGGCTTCACTATTCTGGCAAATTGCCCAATGATGCTGGATGTAATTACCAGCGAAACGTACTCAAATTGTAATTGTGGATTCACTCTTCAACACACCGGTGGGCTAAAGTGAACTATTTGGCTTTTTTCAACGTCACATTTTTTTAACTGACCGTGTCGGGTGGTGGAGGGTTACGCCACTTATAACGCGATCCAACCCAAAAAAACATGAATAATACTGGTCGCGAAAACCGACGTGTTAAACCGAGATTGGATGGGACTACAAGTTTAAGATTCGGTGCGTTTTGGACGCATTCAAGCTTGGAATTGTATACCGAGAGGCCTACCAGGCACGCGTGTGCAGAGCGAAATATGCCGTGCTCGCTGTTCACCGAGGGCAAACCGGCCTGCCTGCGTGAGTTGCACCATCAAATCGCCGCCTAATTGAGGGGCTAATCGGGTGCAGCGGTTGTGCACGCCGACGCAGGAGGTGTTGCCAGGGAGACGGGCGATAAGGGTTTATTAATTGGGCTGGCGGGCGCTAGCCTTCAAAGAGACACGACAGCTCTCCGATAATTGGCAGGAGGATTCAAGGACGTGAGCGGTGAGCGAGGTTTTTTTTTTTAATTTTGCTGGAGACGAAGAGTGAAGACGTCTCGGCACACTGCCGCTCAAGCTTCACGAGTAGCCGGGTGAGTGATGGTTGATCCCAACCCTGGGCAGACGAGTTGAGTGTGACTGAGGGAGGGTAGGAGAGGGCAGCGGTGGAGTGTGAGAAGCTGTGTGCAAGCGTCTGTGAAGACTCAGTGCGCCTAGGCTTGTGTGCGGAGTCGCTGAGCTGCTGGGGGCAGGATAGGTGACGTGTGACTTGCATCTATGGGGCCCTCCGTAAATGACGTCACGCGATTTTGGCAAGATTTTTGACCCCGCCCGCTCCCGTCAAACGGCGTCACAAAAAAAGTCAGAGCCCCCCCTCTACCTCAAATATGACGTCACAAAGCTTCCCCCCCCCACCTCAAAACCTTATTTACATTTTGAAAATAAAACGTGCTTCAAATCCCTTTAAACTATTGTAGTGCTGATTTAATGTGGCGCTACACTTTGATGTAGGAGAAAACGCGTATTACAAAGGAAGTGTTGGAAAGCTTAAATTTGGCATTAAATTAACTCTAAAAATTCAACGTCTTAACTAAGACTGCAGATGTTCAGAATATAATGAAATTCTCATAATTATTAAATAAAAATGATAACTATAAAATACAAAACTTCGTAGAAGAACGAAGCAAAATGGGAGTACACAATTATAACAATCACATTCGTTTCAAAGAATCAGAATCTAAATGTTTAATAACACTCATTAAAAAAATTCAAAATGTATACTTCTCCATTCTCCCATGGACAAGCAAAATGTTCCATGGAATAAATAAACGGTGACCTTAGTATATTTAAATAAGCAAATAGTTAATGAAAATTAATCAAAATTTGTTGTAACAATATTTTTTATTTAAAGTTTCGTAACTGCAGGGATTCATATTCATGGTTCTTTCGGTAAAGTCGCGTAGAAGATAAACAATAAAATAATAAAAATATAAAACAATAAAAATCTCACGACGTTTCGACTGCAACACAAGCAATCATCATCAGGTGTGAAAACCAAAGCTGCTGCAAGAATAGGTAAAAATTTTCTTGTGGTTTTCACACTTGATGATGATTGCTTGTGTTGCAGTCGAAACGTCGTGAGCATTTTATTGTTTAATATTTTTATTATTTTATTGTTTCCCTTCTACGTGACTTTACCGAAAGAACCAAGAAAAACAATGTTTATATTTAAAGTTGCGCATTTTGATGTGACGTCACATTTCTCAAACCCTCCCCCTCGTCACACAGCGTCACAAATGTCTGAACCCTCCCCAGGTGCGTGACGTCATTTATGTACGGCCCCTAAGCACGTGCTAGGAGTGCCTGCAACTGCTGCAAGAATAGGTTAATAAAGTGTAAGAAGGCGACTTGTTACGACGTGTCCCGTCTCATTTACAAGACACGTACTCGAAAAACACTACGCACGTTCAAGACGGCGTTCTAAATAAGTAACGACTACCAGTTGGTTTAATCTCTCGGCACGCCCAGCGTGCTGCGGCCTTGGAAACGAATGGTCACTTTGTTTTACGTTACAGACCTTGCTAATTTGTTCTTGGCGGTATTCAACGACTTTTATATTCACGCGATTTTACCCAAAACAACCTTTGTATGGAAGTTAACGGCCTTGGGGCCTCGGGCAGGGCACCAGAGCGAATAACTTCGTGGTCGAGACTAAATATGGGGGATGAAGCCAATGGAAATGGTGGTCAAGATGTCTTGTGACTACCCCCCCCCCCCCCCCCCCCCACTAATTAAGTGACCCCCTCCCATTTTTTTCCACATTCCTGTTTTAATCCTTGAAAAATATAAAAGTTTTAGAGAAGTAAGTGGCCTTGGACAGGGCATGTCGCCAGGATGGATGGATGACTGGTCGAGGCTAAATAAGGAGTATGCAGTCAATGTAAATAGTGGTCCAAATGTCCTCTCACCTCCAATTAAGTGACCCCCCTCCCAATTTTTGCACGTTCCTATTTTAAACAATCCTTTAAAGAAATGTTAAGTTTTATAGAATTCAATGGGGGGGTCACGAGACATCTGGTCCACCCTGGAGGCAACGCTCGAATAGAAGACGGTCCCTTGACGGCGATGCAGTGCAGGTGCAGGGCCACGGAGAAGCCTTCGATACAGCAGTGGATAGATCCTGGCCGTTGTAAACATCGTCACCATGACGGCTAGCCTCGTTAGTGGCGGGTCTGTTTAGTTCACAGTCGAATCAAACAACGGAATTCCCGGGACGGTACACTCCACATTGCACGTGGAGGAGGAATGGTGGTGGTGCATTGTTAACGCTCCCACCGGCAAGGAGGATCTGGGTTCCACTCCCCACCCGGGTGTCTCTCTGCGTGGAGTTTGTATGTTCTCCTCCCCCTGTTCTGCAAAAGGGTTTATTCGTGTTTTTTTTCTCTTCCGTTGGCAACAAGAAGTCCACCCAACAAAAATTAACTGCGATTGCCTAAAAAAAAAAATGTTCCTACAAATTATTCAACTGCTATTAAACACCTCACCATTGACCCCCCCTCCCCCCACTGCAAAAAAAAAAACCTGGCACGGCCCTCATGAAAAAGTAGCGCGGCCGTTCTAAATAATGGTGCGTTTTACAATCCGGTACTGTGTGTGCTTTCCTTTTTGACAATAGCGGAAGGCAGAGAAGCGACACTCACAACGACTAAAACGAAGCAAATTGGTAACGGTGGGGAGGACAGGTTGTGCCTGTCACAGTCGTCTCGGGCAACCCACAGCACCTGGGTCTGTTCTGTCACCAGAGCTGTAAATAGAAACAAATTACTGTGGGTACTCCTAAATGATTCCCACCACTAGATCTGAGGAGGCGCTTTGCTCCGTAATTTGTGGTTTTGTGTGTG